TAATGTAATGCTAACGGGATAAGGAAAAACTACTGTCGAAAACCAAAAGCTAACGAGTTTTATGGAAAATATGGATTAAAATATCTCAGAAACTAAAAATAGGACTTGTATAATTTAAGCAAGGGAAACGTTCAGCATTTCATCCTCTTTTTAATGAGCTATTCTTAAAAATTGTATCTTAACGCGACGCCAAATGATAACGAATTTTATTGAAGATATGGATTAAAATATCTCAGATAGTAAAAATAATTTTTGAAAACTAATATTATTTAACGTAAATAACATGTTTGCAAGGAAATTAAATGAAATTCACTATTCATTGTACTCGAGTGAAATATAAAAATATTTCATGGTTATGTTTATAACCTAAAATATATTTACTGTAGTTTAATAACCCTAGATCTGATATTATATTTAAATATTTAGGTAAATCTCTAGGAAAAATCATCATGTAACCCTTTAGAAAATTAAATTAGTGAATAATTTTCTGAATTTTCCATTTGTGATATTCCAACAGTATCCACTTACAATTAGTGTGACAACTTTTGATCGTCTATGAAACACAATGCAAATCTCTTATTCCATTTTAGTCAACTTTGCAATGAATTTAATAACTAATAGTCGTACAATCCATAATCAACGGCTCGTACAATCCATAATCGACCGGTGATATAATAAATAGGACTTTTGTTATTTTAATGGTATTTATGATTTGTTGGATGTAAGATGTTAGCTTTAGCTCGGTTGAAAATGTTCAACAATTTTATAATAGCCTAACATGGCCAGAAAATAATTTCTATTCAAAGTTGAGCGGTAAGTGAAAGTTGCGTGTTGCGCGCACCATATTTTTTTTATATTGACGTTTGTAGCAATTTGTAAAACAATATGCTACATGTACAGAATAGGTCATGTAAGTTACACCAATATTACATTTTCAAAATTTCCTATGTTTTCTGAAATACTTAACTCAGTAAAAAAAAATTAATTGTGCACAGTAATAATATAGTTATTAATAAATTAATTATCTATACAAATTAGTAATTATTTATCCAGCTGTTCTTGTTCAATTTTTTGTTTCTTTTTTCCATTGTTAGCAAGTCATTTAAGTAATAGTTCTAAAACATTTATGTATTATTTTTAAAAAAATTATATATTCAAACGAAATCTTCGTTGATAGTATAAATCCGAAATGTGTCTATGCACGATTTTAGCGATGGCCCTAGGTTTCATTTTGATTTGCGCTGTAAGTATCCCGTTATCAATACAGAACGAATATAAATGTTAAATTATGATCGCACGCATATCATTTTTTCTAATTAAATTAAACAGATGTTTCTATTTTATGATTAGAACTGCATATGATACATACTACACATTTATTTAGTGCACTATAGGTAAACTATAGATCACGCCTATACCATTTCTAGGTTGTTTTTATTTCTTTTTTACTCATTGTACTTTCATTTTTTCTTCCATCTCTTTCATTCTTTTCTATGTCCATTTCTTACTTCCTTGATTCTTTTTCTCCACTACTAGAACCTTTATTTTATTCAAATTTTCTCCTATCTTGTAGTCTTACTATTTGATATATATTTTTTACTTCTTTTAATTCTTCAGTATATTCTTTTATGTCCTTCTGTTCCATCACTTCATCGAATATTAGTTTGTTTAATCAAGACCGACTCGCTCTCTTCCTATGTCCGAAGAATTTTAGTCTCCTCTTCCTCATCGATGTTTCTAAGTTTACAATCCTGATCTTTTTAATTGATATTTTTTCCGCATTCTTGTTGGCCCATATATTATTCTCAGTATTTTTCTTAATATTCTTAGTTGCAACGATTCCGTGTGGGTAAATCCCATAGATCATCACCGGTTTTGTTTTTACTCTTTCTTAATGTCATCTTGAATACAATATACCAATTATTAGATTATATATTATATTATTAAATATAATTATTATGAAATGGAAAAGGATGTACAATATAACGAACAATGAAAATATTAGAAATAAAAGGCAATCATTGTTCGGCTTATATGAAGCTGGGCAAGTTTAATATATATATATATATATATATATATATATATATATATATATATATATATATATATATATATATATATTAGTTACAAATTAGCAATAAGAATAATAACATTATATATTAATAAAATTAGCAATAAGCTGTGATATATAATGTAGAATTTTAGTGAAATCAAAAATTTGTTTGACATGTGGTTTCGTTCAGTTTATTTTGTGTTGATAAAAATAATACAATATGAACTACAGAATACATGTAAATTAAATTTATAAAATTTTGGTTAAAGGATATTACAAATAAATGAGCAGTTGTATAATTTGTAAGGTGAGGTTTGTTCCGAGACACCACCTTACTATATGCTCGTACAATCAATGATCAATGGATCATATCATCCATAATCGACCGGTGATATAATAAATAGGACTTTTGTTATTTTGATGGTATTGGTTGATTTGTCAGCTGTAAGCTTTTAGCTTTAGCTCGGTTGAAAATGCAATTAAAAAATTTTATAATAGCCCAACATGGCAAGAAAATAATTTCTATTCAAAATAGAGTGGTAAGTGAAAGTTGTGTTGCGCGCACCAGATTTTTTTATAAATTCAATCAGTTTTCAAATATATTTTACTTCTTTTTCTATAAGTTCTTGAGAAAACAAAAATTGAAATGAATTACCATTAACTGGAGTAGGTAGATGCGAATATAGGAACAAAAAATACCAACTTTTTTAATTACTTATTTTTAGTTTATAACTCTTACTTAACCACGGGCAATAATTTAAATCTTGACAGTTGAGAACTCCAATGTAAGCTAATTGACAAACCACCTCGAGGAGTTAAAACATGCAACCGTGTCTGCTAATATTGAGCATTGCGGGTTCATTAAAAGAAATAAAATAAAACTGAGATCGGTAGAAATGAGCTTTGTCTCAGTTAGTAAGAGAGCTGCTTTTCACTGTCACGCCAGTAGCTTAATAAAATACGTCACTTAATTCTGAAAATTACTGGCACGACCAGTGATTTAGAAATTCATTTCTTTGATAAAAAAAAAAAAATCTTCAACAGAGTTGTATTCTATAGTTTTAAAACACGAAAAGAAAAAATATGTAATCCAAGATTATTAATTAAAATATCTTAATTTATTTAATAATTTATAATATGAGGCTTCGCTCCCCCAAAAAAATATGGCTTCTCAACAAAGGCGCAGATTTTCCATTTTGAATGGGGGGAGGAGAATTTTCAGCATTTCATCCTCTTTGAAATGAGTTATTATTCATAATAGTATCTTAACGCGACACCGTGTTAGACAGGCGAAAAAGATAGGAAAGGAAAAAAGATAGTGTCAATGACGTACTTAAAATAGAGCCAAAATTTGTAGCAACGAAAGACATTTATAATGTATAATATATCTAAAAACAAGACATAAATACTACAAAACAGAAATTACTCATAAAATTTACAATAGCGAGGAAAGCGCTTTATACATCGCCCTTATACATTTATTGCATGCTTTAATTCATTTAAATTTCCCGATTAAGACCTATATGGACATACGGATTTGAGCTTTGGGGCTCCACCAAACCATCGAATTCCTATCGTATCCAATCCTTACAATCCAAAATCCTCCGTAAAATTCTTAATGCTCCATACTTTGTCACAAATAAAACCATTCATAAAGACCTTAATGTACCATATGTCGCTGATTTAGCTCGAGCCAGATATCTATCCCTTCATGATAAACTTCAGTCCCATCAAAATCCGCTTGTTTCCTCTCTTGCTTCTTTCTCGATTCCTGATAATCCTCCTAGGCGTCTGAAAAGGAGATGGCCTCGTGATCTTCTTACTTAAAATTATTTAGAGAGTGCTACCACTGGGTAGTAACTCTTCAAGCCTGTACATGCCATTATTTATATTTGCGCATATTTACTAGATGTATTTGTATACAGTTGTAAATTCCATTAAATAAACAAAAAAATTCCCGACGACGTTTCGGGATATTTGGTCCATTTAAAAGTTGAATATTTATCTATAATGCAATTACACAATAATTATAAATACATATGTAAAAGATATAATATCATATAAAATAACAATAAAAGAAAATTCCAAAATATCAAGTCAATGAATGATATCTCTACTTAAATCGTTATTAAAAAATCCACATAATTATAGTTCTTTATATAATTATTGTAACATTTATCTCCTTAAATTCTTCAAATTATAAAATTAATAATTATTGAGAAGTCAATTCTGAAACAACTACAACAAACAAAAGAAATATACAAGATATCACAAATAGGAAAAGGGCAAAAAAGATTTTTTTTTTTTTTTAACACTATGATTCTATTCTATAAATTACCCGATGAAATTTACTCAAATGCTACACATTTTTGTCCCTTTAAATACAAGATATTATACTGTGGGCTGTGGGCTTACCTATTATTTTGCTCAAGTTACCTGTTATTAATAACAATTTAGCTAAAATAATTATTTAAAATTCTAATTTATTAATTATATCTATATAATGTTGCCCAATCCCCTTAATATCCGTTTTAAAATTAATTTTTTACATATTTTATTTATGTAGATAAATCCCAAAAACTTCCTTATTTTATTATCTTCAGCCCTATTTAAAATTTTTATTTTATCATAATCAAAAATATGATAAATAAAACCCGAGAAATGTCAATGTTACAGCTTCAGCAACGTATAGTGTCATGAATAAACATATTTTTGATTATGATAAAATATATTTATAATTATCGTGTAATTGCATTATTGTTAAATATTCGCCTTGAAAATGGGCAAAATTGCCCGAAATTTAATGAAAGAAAAACATGGAATAAACGTATAAGGGTGAAATAGAGCGTTTCCTCTATATTATAAATTTTATTATTAATATATACCCTTGAAAATTTTGAAGATTTAATTAAAAAAGAAATTAAGGATTTTTTATTAAACATATGTTGTTAATGTTGACTTAACGCTTTTAGATGTGAGAAGTTGATAATGCTGTTAAGAAGAATACATCAGCTTATAACTCTTTTCATTGATTATTCTAATTTAAAGTCAAATGTTATATTTTAAACAAGCTAGTTCTGTGTAAAATATGTAATGAATTATATGTTGAAGTAAAGGTTATGTAGATATGATAACGTGTTACTGAGATTATGAATGGCGGTAAGATGATACAGAGAATGTTAGTGGAAAGGAGAAACTTACGTAAGCTTGTATTGGTGATATGACAAATTCTGTCCAATCAGAAGGACGCACTTCATCACGTGTTCTTTTTGCAGATGATATGGTTACTACTGACGGTGGTTGGGGTGGCGGAGGTATCTGCACTTGCGGGTTACAGGCTTCCTGGAAATGTCAAACCTACGCACTACATTCTGGAAGTTCTTACCGAACTGGAGGATCCTAACTTCAAGTTTTCTGGAGAAGTCTGGATAAAGGTAACAAATAGAGTCAGATAGATAAATATACTATTTTTTCATTTCAAAATTCCTTTATTGCCCGCTCCTCCACGTTTTGGAATTCCATCCCACTTAAAATCCGCTATACACCATCCTTGTTCACATTCAAAACCCTCTTATTCCAATTCCTCTTCACAATAAAATCAGACGCTGGTTAATTATGTATCATGTAACAAGGATAATTTTTTTTTCATTTCATTTTGCATTAAAGGACCAGGGTCAAGTTTTTAACCCTGAAACAGTTTAACCATCTACGTTATCTTCTTCTGTTCAAAACCAGTCAACTCATGGTCTCCTCTCTTGTTTTCTCCCACTTCGACTATGGCTGCATGGTGTATGGTGGACTCTCGGGAGAACTCGAAGCCAAACTTAAACGTTTAATGAATTGCTCAATCCGCTTTATCTTCGGGATCTCAAGGAATACGCATATTACCCAGTTCTACACCAAGTTGAAGTGGCTTTATCCGTCCTACCGCCGTCAATATTTCCTTGCTAATTTCCTATACCAAAGCATTGGAACACGGCGACCTGCCTATATTTTACAGATCCTACAATTCAAACGACGCTCGTTTTAATCCCGTCCCACCAGATCCCGTGCGTCCGACCACTATCCTCCTCCTTACCGAACTGCTGATTTGATAAATCCTTTTTAATACAAGTTGTCTCCCACTGGAACTCTATACCTTCAGATATTCGACACGCTAAATCGATATCCTCTTTCAAATCTCTCCTCTTCGAACACCTACTCCATTCCCAATTCGATTGATCACGAAATGCACTTAAAAACCTAAGCTGTAAAAACCTCAAAGTAGACCCCAGATACTCTGATTATTTTGTAATTCATCGATATTTCGTTCACTTAATTACTTTCTCTGTATATTTTACATTTACACGTATTTATATCTTTTTACCATTTATAACTTTATTGTACTCAGAATCAACCTGTAAATATTAAATTGTACTTCATGAAAACGTCAAAATATTAATATATATTTTGTATTTGTGACTTGTTCTAAAAGGACACTAGTCCCAGAATAATAAAATTATTTTCATTCATTCATTATTTTATTTTATTTTTTGTTTATTATTTATGAATTGGAAAAAAATCAGTATCACTTTTGGCATAGCACTGTGAGGTGATGCATAAAATATAAGAGATTGTTTGTTATTTTTATCCATTTTTCTTTTTCCATCTACAAGATTGTGTATATTTTAGACGTATTTCGTTTCTTACATTCCTTAATTTGTATATATATATATCTATATATATCTTTTCTTATCTTAATTGCATATTGTATAACATATATAAATAATTTATTTTCTTTAAATCAGTATTTTTTTTCTGTTGTGATCCAGTTGCTCATCTTCTGTCATTAATATATCTTTAATATATGTATATATTTTGTATACTTTAGCTGTTTGGGCTTTAACATTAGTCAATCTATTTTATTTACGTAATTTTGATATTTTTCCTTTTCAGAAAGTTTTGCATTTTCTTTCTATACATGTAATTCTTTTTTTATTTTTGTCACTTTTTTGTTGAGATTTTATTTTATTTTTTAGTAATTTACATACTATTATTCAAGTTGTTTTATATATTATTTGAATCTTTATCAAGTTAGTTTTTGGCCAGATATGTATTTTTTCTTTTGTAACTGTTCATTATTGTTATTCTAAGGGGACATCGTTCCAGAATAAAGTGTATTTTCTATTTCTATATTTAGCTATAAAATTGCATATTCATTAATTACCACCTTCAATATACACACCTTTCTCCTCTATATCTAAAATGCTGTATTCTGACTTTCCATTATTTGAAAACTGGAAATATTCTACTGTCAGCTCCTTCAGAATGCTTGTTTAATATTTTGGCCTTTAGAAATCCTATGAGGGTGCACATTACCATGAATATCGATTAAAAAAACAAAAAAACAATCATCATTGGTTTGAATTTTGCTTTGCTCATTCCAGCTGTTTTGATCAGTGCATGGATTTGCGTTTCATAAATAAAAATGACTACAAATATACAAATATTTCTGAACATAATAGAATTCCAACAGATAATAAATATCTTGGTTGCAGGTGGAATGCATCGAACCCACGAACACCATCATCCTCCATTCGAAACAACTCAACATAACCGAAGAGGAAACGACGGTGAAGGAGATCGTGAGCAAGGATGAACTGGTTCCATTGAGCATCACTTCCCAGAAGCTGGTGAAAGAGAACGACTTCCTCATCATCAAGCTTGGCCAGAACCTGAAGCAGGGTACGATGTACATCCTCCACATCGCCTTCGCCGGATCCCTTCAAGAAGACCTGGCCGGCTACTACAGGAGCAGTTACATTGACCAGCAATCAAACTCTACGAAGTCAGTGTATTTGATTTTTATTTTAATTATAAAGTTTTTAATTTATTTCATATTCATTTGAAGGGAAAACCCTAGGAAATCCATGATAGACTCTGACCGTGAGAGTGAAACTCAACACATAGGTTAACACCTGAGTATCGTCAGCGTGTAAAAAGAGATTCTGGTTTCCCTCATTTCGAATTTTCATTATGCTTCGAAGTTTCATTAGATAGCTTTAAAAATTTCCAGTTCTTCATCGATTAGCGATGACGAAGATATAATACATAAAGGTAACTAGGCTACTTTTCTTCTGCTGGCATTATATCTTTATATCTTTTGAATAATTAATTATATCTCTAGCCTGCCAGTTGTCCTCAATAGTTTTCAATCTATCTTTGAGGAATTCTCTTTTTACCGACTTTAAAATTTTGTTCGCTTTTTTCTTAGCATCTGTAAATTGTATTTTCTTTTTTTTTTTTGTTCTGTTGGTATTACAGACCATGTAGATCTTTTGCCACCTTGAGAAGCCTGCTCCATCTCTGCCTGCCTTGGGCTATTTCTGTCCATTTATCTCAACGCACCTCTGTTGCATCTTTGTTGATTCTATCTATCCATATGTTTGTTGTCCTTCCACGTGGTCTTTTACCTTCTACTGAGGCATTCATTGTTACGTAGAGAATTCCAGATGGATCGCTACGAACTACAAGCCACGCCCATTTTAACCTCCGTGCCTTCGTATCATGGGATATTGATTGACCAGTTTCAGTGGGCAGTTCTTTATTGGTCTTTCTTCTCCAAGTGTTAGTACTCTGATCTCAGATCGTTCCGGTTATCGTGCGAAGGATTTTCTTTTCAAATTTTTTAAAACTTTTTTCTCGGATTTTGGTTAGTGTCCAAGTCTCACAGACGTATATTAGAACTGGCTTTATCATAGCTTTGTACACCCTTAGTTCGAGATTTCTTAAGATAGTCATTCATTGAGGTTGTTGTGGAGCCGAAGTATTTGAATTTGTTTACTCTCGTGAATGATTTTCCTTGTACGCAAATCCTGTAATTGGGGTGGAATTTTCGGCTTATTATCATAAATTTTGTTTTTTTCTTTATTTACTTGGAGCCCGATCTGCCACGCCTATCGCATCAGTGTTGTAGCGAGTTTCTCAATGTCTTCTTGGTTACTTGTAAGGGCAGCTATATCATCTGCTCATCCAAGGATTTTATGATTCATTCTCATGTGGACTCCTCCATTTTCCTGTGATGTTGCCTTTATTACTTTTCCAGGGCTAATTTGAACAACATCGGAAATAGTCCACCCTTCTTGTATTAGAACTCGACATTCAGTGTCATTTGTACCGACTTTTGTCAAGCTCACCAATTCCCAGTTTAGTCATGATTTTCAAAAGTCAGTTCCTGCCCACAGAATCATAGCCTGCTTTGAAATAGACAAATAAGGCGTGGACGTTCTGAGCTACTTCCCATCATTTTTAGTACTTGTTTTACGATGAAGATCTGGTCTAGCGAACTCCTTCCTTTTCTAAATCCGGCTTGATGATTGCCTGTTATATTTTCGTAATACGAATATATCCGCTTTAGTAGGATATTGGTCATTATCTTGTAAGCAACCGGAAGGAGTGGTATGCCTCTGTAATTACTATACTCATACATGGAACCTTTCTTTAGAATAGATTAGGCCCATATTCCAGTAACCTTTCCTCTTACTGTTGTTCAAGACGAGTCTTGGTCTTCCACATTCAGCCTTGGTCTTGCAGTTACTTATTAGCTTAGTACTATAGAGATATTAAGGTATTTTTTAAATAGGACAAACCTAACTAAGTCCTGAATGGAACATTAGAAGATTTAAATGCAAAAGTATATTGGTTATAACAATTCTTTACATAGAGTAACTAAAATTGTCAAGTATTAGTAACTATTTTGCCTTCATTTTTATTCAAAAAATCGATTTTTTTTACCAGTCTTGGTCTTGTTCTTGCAACAGTTTGGTGGCCTTGGTCTTAGGCTTGCAAAGTGCAAGACCAAGACCGATTTTGGGCAACGATACCTCTTACTATATTTTCTGAATTAGTTAATAGTAGCTTGGCTCTTAAATCTTCTCCCGCTTCTTTAAACAGTTCTGATAGTAGGTTGTCCATCCCTGGGGTCTTTCGGTAGCTATTTCTATATCCAGTATATCTGGTTTTTCAAAATCTTCTGAGTCGAAGTACTCAGTTTGGTCCATTTTTTCTTCGTTCGTGGAATCCCCTAGTTGAAAAGCTTCTGGAAATGTTCTTTCCAGATGCTGAATATCTTTTCTTCAGATTCTGCCATAATGCCATATTTTCTTCGCATTTGCGTATTTCTAGCTGTATATCCTAACCTTCCTTTCCTACCGTCTACGTAGAATTTGGATATATCTCCAGCCTGCCAGTTGTCCTCAATGATTTTCAATCTTTCTTTAAGGAATTCTCTTTTTGCCGACTTTATAATTTCGTTAGCCTTTTTCTTAGCATCTGTATATTGTAGTATAGATATACCATTTAATTTTTCTTGAAATATAGTTCATTAACATTTTTATTGTTGTTTATTGCAGATGGCTTGCCGTAACCCAGTTCGAAGCGACTGACGCCAGGAAGGCTTTCCCCTGCTTCGACGAACCGGAGATGAAGGCGAAGTTCACTGTAAGGCTGGCGCACAAGAACAGTTTCAAAGCAGTCAGCAACATGCCACTTTCCAAAACAGTTCCATAGTAAGTAGATAGAGCCAAAGAGTGGTATTAATTAACAAAAACCTTGCCTTTACTAGGCCTGATCCAAGCAAGTGGAGTGTCCTAAGTGGTAATAATTTCTACTAGTCCGAGAGTCCGTGACAAAAAAATACGAAAATGTCATAAAGAAATTTGTTGAACTAATTATATTTTTAATTGAACTTATTATTATTTATTGGCTTATATATAAACCATTATAGGTTATATATAAAAAGATTAACTCTGCAAAAGTATCGCTATTATAACCTACATCATTAGCGGATCCAGGATTTAGTTTTTTTTTTTAGGGGGGGGGGAGGCTTCAGCCCGAAAGATTAACTCAGTTACTGTTATTTTATTTTTAAAATTAAAATATAGCTAGTATACCCCAGCGAAAACTCTCATTAACTCAGTTATTCGGTTATAGTTTTGGTTTATTATTTTCAATAATCAACCATTGCGATCGATCAAAAAATTCAAAAACTTTACCCCCTCTCAAAATTTGAGGTTTCACGTTTCACGATGCGTAGAATTCGAAAATCAAAAATTTTTTTATCCGTCCGCCGTCCGCGCATTTTCTCTGAAACTACTGGACCGATTTTTTTTTTAATTTGGATATAAAATCAGAGGTCACCCGAGGATGATCCTCCTTCATCGACATTACTATCAGCCTTTTACTTTCAAAATGGCGGGCGAACAACCTGCGTTGCTATGGACTGTAGCTCCTAAACGAATGAACAGATTTCAATGAAACTTCGCTAAAGTCATTTTCTCGACGCCCTTTAAATTTATCTATATAACATACTTCAACGAAAAGAAGCTGGAAAGAAAGTTACGAGGGATGGTAAAATTAAATTCCGAATAACTCGAAAAGTTTACAATTTTTTATATGTTTTTTTTACATACGTTTACGTAATTTCCTAAAAAAAAAAATCTTTAAAATCGGACAATTAGGAGCAAAGATATGGTCTCTAGTTTTTTTTACATGTTCTGCTTCAAAGGTACTATACTAATATGAACTAAAAATCGTTAAAATCGGACAATTAGGAGCAAAGATATGGTCTCCGGTTTTTTTATATGTTCTACTCCAAATGTTATATCCTTGGTTTGGTTTTTAAATTTTGAATGTGTTACTGAACTAATGCTATTTTTTTTTTTTTTTTTAGCATATTACTAATGATTAAAGAAAAACAGTTCCGTCAAATAATTGAAATCACCTTATATTTATTTTTCTTTGTAGCAAGGAAGGTAATGTTACTATAGATGTATAATTGTTTGGAGATAATAAACCATTGTGAAATAATTTGCCGCGTTTTTTAAATATACAGCGATAGTTACTAAGCAAGAAAAGGAAAGGAACTAATTACCTATATGAAATAGAGTTTAAGTGGTCCTTAAAATACTATTAAATGTAATTACAGGAACAATAATACTTTTAAGAGGTAATTATTAATTTTTTATTCATTAGACATGGTTCTATTTTACTATTTTTTTGAGAGGGAGAGGGAGAGAGCTTCACCTCGAAAGCTTTAAACGTCAATTTATATAAAAAAAATATTTTTATTTTCCATTAAAAGTTCCACAAAGCCATTTTATCAAATAAATATTTTATGATCTTTAATAATAAAAACTTCGACAGTATACCAGCTAAAGCTTGTTTGTTCCATTTTTATCAAAATAAAGTTTTTCATATTTATTACAAAACAAAGGTTCAATAGACTCTGGAATATTGAAGCGGGCTGATATTAAATTTTAGTAACGCCCTCAGTAAAATATATTATTCTAATCTTAGCAAATTGAAGTAGTTTCGGAAATCTTATATTTCGCACTTTTGGGGATTTTCGAATTATTGTTAGGTAGATCCTCTCTTGTCATTAACACAAGAATGTTATCATGACCAGTTCAATACCCTATGAATTTAAAAGTGTTCAGAGTGGGAAAGGATTTTTTTTTTTTTTTTTTTTTTGTCTACCGAAAAGTTTAGTCGGTAACACTTTCGATGGTTTGGAGATATAATGTCGAATTATGCTATGAAAAATGTCTAAAAGTTTATAGTGCGTGATACAGACCCATTTTTTATCAAATTATTAACTTCCGGCTGATACTTCGTAAATAGCTTCATCTCATCGTAACCTACAAATATTTTATTTACTAATATTCTCGGAATTGGGACGTTATCGATATGGAGGTTGACAAACTTTGGCTATTTAATTAGATACTAAAAACTTGTAAATACGCATTTGCTTTTCACTTGAATCGTAAGATAACTTGAGCATATAGTCGACAAAAAAGGTGGCTGTTTGATCAAGGTAATTTGGTATGAGCCAAATATTACCCTTTGATCCGTAATTGATTTATATTGCGCTGGTGATTGTGAAAATTGGTGTGGACTGTATGAGCTTGGATCACTTAAATTGGATACTTGATTAAATTGAACAAAAATTGAAAACATGATTATATTGCATATAATTGAAAAAACAAAAGAAATAAAATATTGTGCCTTTGTATAATTTTCTGGTTCTTGACAGATTAAGTATATATTACTGATTGTGAAATTACAATTTTTATATTGGCATTGTAATGTTAGAAGTGATTTTGCTTGATTGAAATTGAATTGTCAATGTGGACTCACTTGCTGTCTAAAATTGAGCTTCATGGTTTTGGCCACCTCTTCTTACTCTCCATACTCCCTCCACCAGGCTGTTCTCTTGAAGTTTAGCAACTCATATTTTCTTTCCTTGTGATTTACGAACAGAGTACCTGACTGTGTGCACACTTCACCAATGAACAGGATTAACTCAACAGGAATGTTTGTTTCGATGTCTAGGCTCAAAATATCGAGGCCATCAGCGACCGATCAACTAAATAACACTACTTTTATACTATTTGGATGGTTGGTCCAAAAAATAAGAATAAAAAAAGGATAAAAATAATTAAATAAAAGGATTGATAGAATGAAATAAATAAATAAAAAATAACATAATTAAATAAATAACTAACTATAACTAATAACTAAATAAATAAATAACCAAATAACATAATTAAATAAAAGAATTAATAGAATTAAATAAAGAAAGAAAAATAATAATAGACACTTATAGATAATAATATAGAATAGATAAATCAATAAAATGAGTTGAAATTAATAACCAAATGAACTTTTAAAATTTTAAAATAAAATGAAATAAAGTAAATAGATAAAAAAATAAATAAATACATTTAAAAAAAATAAAAATAATAATAAATCTGCAAAGGGTCATAATTTATAAACTTGTCATATATGTTGTTTAAGTTTTCCATTATCTAGGAACTTGAAAACTTTAATAACCATTTCTTCTTGATTTCCCAGGGATACTGAAATATTCAAAGATCTTTTAACCTTTCGGTGTAAAAACGGCATTCTTCCAAAACATGTTTTATGTTTAATGACTGGTCACACTTTTGACATCTGGGGATAAGATCTTTTGTTGTATGAGGTGGAGGTGTGTCAGTCTAGTATGTATGATCCTCAGCCTCATGAGAACAACAGGAATGGTTTGCAGCAAAATGGAGGCCATAAAATGGTGGTGAAGCTCCGAATAGTACAATTGTTTTTGTTTTTTTGTGTTTCAGAGGTTGATCCTTGAACAGTGGCCTTCAAAAATATTGAGCCATTTGGCGTGATTTCATCCCAAAATTGTCAAAATGACGAGATTATATAGGCCTAACGACTCAATATTTTTGAAGGCCACCTTTTTCCTCGAATTCTTGCTCAAGTTATCTCACGATTAAAGTGGAAAGATAAGAGGTATTTAGGAGTTTTTAGTAGCTAATTAAATAGACAAAGTTTGTCAACCTCCAGATCAAAAACCAATTCCGAGAATTTTCGTAAATAAAATATTTGTAGGTTACGATGAGATGAAGCTATTTAATAAGTTTCAGCCGGAAGTTAATAATTTTATAAAAATGGATCTGTGCCACGGACTATTATATTCATTTTAATTTCTAATATCTAGCGAGAAAAAGGAAGACTACGCTTGGAGCCATTTCGAAGACAGCGTCCCGATGTCCACTTACCTCGTCGCCTACTTGGTCAGCGAGTTCGAGTTCAAGGAAGCGCCAGCTAGGCACAACAATGTTACCTTCAGGATCTGGAGCAGGAAGGATGCTCTTTCACAGACTGAGTTAGCCCAAGACGTCGGACCGAAAGTCCTGGAATATTACGAGACGTACTTCGATGAGAAGTACCCCCTTCCTAAACAGGACATGGCGGCCATACCGGACTTCAGCGCGGGAGCTATGGAAAACTGGGGTCTCATCACATACAGGTACGTTTGAGTACTACTAATACTAAATCATACAAGTATAGAATATAGTCAAAATTTATATCCTAGATTTACTATAAAGTCTCGTTTACACGGTGAAAATTACTGTTGTATTATTAAGACTACAGGAAATATTGGATTGGCAAATAAGTCCTTTAGGTTTTTCAGAGTGAAATGAAATTCAATGTATTATAGACATAAAATTTATTTTAATCTACAGTATATTGACTATTATTTAATATAACTTTTTCCCATCTTTGTACTAACTGCATAATGCCATGTTCATAGAATGTCTGGAGTTTATTATAAAAAAACTGATCCAAGTGGTTTATAATGTCCTCTTCCTTTTGGAATTTCTTTCCATTCAAGGAGTTCTGCAGAGACTGGAATAAGTGGTAATCACTTGAAGCTAGGTCTGGTGAATAGGGAGGTTGGGAAAAAAGGTCCTAAGGCTCAATAATTTATTGAGAGTGACCAAGAGGTGTGGGGCCTAGCGTTGTCATGGTGGAACACCAACACCCTTCCAATCATTCATAACTCTTCAGGATGTTCTCCAAATTCGATGTTACTATATCCGTTGGAAATCTGAAGTATTGCTCTTCAAAGCTGTATGAATGGTTTTTTGATTTAATGCCTACATAAGAAATAAATAAACAAAAACTTCTTATCGATTTTTATTTTTTATTTCCATTTATAGTTTATTTAAGAAGATCCTATTGATGCCATTTTGAATACTTATGTGGCCCTAAATTTCTGTTAAATATCTTGTAGATAGCTAAAGTCGTATTGAAGATATAACATTTTTTGTGATTTTCGAAAAAAAAATCATGAGGAACCCAAACATTAAATCTGGAAACACAGCTGAGCTTGTGCAAATGGTGCAACACATTTAGGGCCATAGCAATCTCTCATACTGATTGGGTGGCATTTTGATCAACAATGGCCTTAACATTGTGGGCGACCAAACTGTTGAGCATCATTGATGTCAAAATTTCCTGAATGAAATTTGGCAAACCAATTTTTAAAGGTAAGTTTGGTTAAGGCATCATCCCCATAAATGCTGCAAAGTTTTCTATGAGCTTCTGCAGCAAACTTACCTTTTTAAAGAGTTAACAGATATAGTTGTCGACATATTACAAACAGGATAAACAAACAACCTTAGGGATTAATTCAGCAGATAAGAAGTGTATCATAGTGACATAAAAATAAATAGAAAAACCGAAAGGACTTATTTGCCAACCCAATAGAATGGGCAGTCGAGTTAAAGAATGCTGTCACTCTTTATGCTTCATCCCCACTTCTGTGTACCATATCTGTTCCAATTATATTTTTCTTTCTGGTATTGATGTTAAATTCCCTGTATTTTTTACATATTTTTTATTTTAATTCAAGTCTTATTAAAGTATGAGGGTTTCATTGTCTAATCAATGAGCATACAAATTATATTTAAAATATTATGCCTATCTATTTCGCACATTTGTAATGATTCTTATTATTTTCCTATAAATCATCATCATAATCTTTAATCCACAAGTGCAACTATTTTGTGTGGGGTTTCTACATTCAGTCTGGACCAGATGTCTCGCTCTCAAATCAACTCTCTTTCACAGCTTTAATACATACCCCGCCTCCTAAACACCTCTCGGTCACTATCCTTCCTCAGGTCTTCTTTCCTCCACTAGGGTCTCGAATCTCTTTCTGGAAGTTCTCTCTTGATCCATCCATAAGGAGACGACCGAGCCATCTTAGTTTGTGCTTCTCCAGAATGGTCTTGGGCAGTTTAACTTCGAGGCTAGTCCGTATAGAGGCGTTCCGGATCCTATCTCGTATCTTACCTTCCACTTTACGAAAGTATGCCAATTCCATGTATTGGATTCGACTTTTGTGTTTTGAAGTGAAGGTTCATGATTCGGAAGAGTATGAAAGGATTGGATGAAACGTCTATTTATAGACAACCATTTTTATCTTCTTTGTTAATTCTGTTATACGTAGAAAACCCGTCGGAAGTGAATACTCTCTCAGCTGTTTCGATTCTCTTCTCCATACAAGTAACACCTTTCGTTGAGATGAACACCTAGGTATTGGAAATTATCCACCTGCGCTAAATCTCTCCGTTTGATCTCAGTACTCTCCAGGTCTCCAGGTTTCTTCCGTATCTGCATTTTCACATCCTTTCAAGATTTTCATAGTTATTGTGGTTATTTCTTCTAAGAGGATGTTTATATTGTGTTGGAGATCTTGATCGTTGAGCAGCTTGGAAGATAAGGTCATTAAGGAATGCTAATAAAAAGAATCTTCTGGGTTGTAAGTTTCTGTGCCCTAACCAGAAATACCTCTTTCTTAGTTTAGCTTTCTTTAGACTTAGGTATGTGACTAATATGAATAGTACCAGGCTTAAACTACAACCTTGGTAAATATCTCATGTCATTTCAAATTCTTGTGATGTGTGGTTCGTGGTCCTAACCATATTTCTAGTCTTATAGAGTCTCGTTAAAGCCAAAATCATCCTTCAATGAATTTCTCAGACATTGTCCACTTTGACTCTGTTTTCCTTTTGTATTCTACTGAAAGCCATTTGTAGGTCCACAAAGCAAACTGAAAGCTCTTTATTGCTCTATTTAATTACTTTGATCAATCTTAAGTTTTCTTTAACCTAAATAAGATTTCACAGGGCCAATTATGTATATTTTATCTAACTTGCTGTTATTGTTTTTACAGGGAGACTGCATTGCTATACGATGACAAAGTTTCTTCTAAAGTAAGCCAGGATAGAATAGCATACGTCATAGCTCATGAGCTGGCCCATCAATGGTTTGGAAATTTGGTCACTATGAAATGGTGGACAGATCTGTGGCTCAACGAAGGCTTTGCCACATATGTAGGCACATTAGGAGTTGAGGAGGTATTTTATCATTACATCCGTTCTATCATCTATTTTTGCCATGCTTAAACCTTTTTTTTGGAACCATAGAATAGGAATATAAATTCATTCAATAACAAATTAATTGAAAATGAATACTTTGGTCAATTAATAGTCAGTCACCATACAACTCTCCTCCCATTTCCTCACTCAGTCTTCACTAAATGGCTGAGGTATGCATACCTCTTTATAATTCCATACACTATATGTAAATAATTATATTTGTGAGGTAATCATCTTGAAATTTACTGCCTAAATAAAAAAAAAAAATTTTTAAATAAATAAACCAAGAGGTAGAAATCATCACATTTATTATCTTAAATGTATCAAAGTCAAGTGAAATAAGAGCTGAAAAATTCATTCACTTTTTTTCATGCAAAGTGGCCTAGAAACAATTGCTAAAACAGTTAAAAAAATGGTTTCAAAAACTTCCCTTGTTCTAAAGAGAGACACTAGATCATACTGTAATTAAAAAAAATCAGTAATTTTCCCTCAAAATGAAATTCTACATCCATATCAAGTAATACATTGTTGTGCACAAGTTTTTCCTAAATAAGAATAACTTCATATCAAATGCAAACATCTGACATTTAACAAAAATTGCCTTTTTCTCAACTTTCTGGAATAAATTGTCTGATTTCAACCATAATTTGTTTCCATTCATTGAAATATTATAGACTGTTTAAAACATCTCATCATTTATACATAATTTTTTCAGTTGTATCCAGAATGGGGATATTTGAAAGAATCTATGTTAGATTATGCCCGTTTTGTTTTTGATCTTGATTCTTTGGTTTCTTCACATCCTGTTTCAAAGGAAATTGGACACCCTGATGAAATCAGTCAAATATTCGACACAATTTCTTACAAAAAAGGTAAAAACTATTATAAGTCAAGTATAATTTACTAACCATTATATAAGTTATAGAATTGAAAAGTTCATATCAATATATTTGAATGTGTTAAAATCTTTTTAATCTTTATAGAAAAGAAATTAGGATTTCATGAAATATCATTAATTTATTTATTTGAGAACAAAAATATGATATGATCTATACTCTTCAACAGAAGTTATAAAGGAGAGATTTTTTTTTTTCCTAGGATGTGTAATCTTGCGAATGATGCACCTATTCCTTGGTGACTCATTTAAACTGGGAGTCACCAAGTATCTTAGAAAGCATAAGTATGGAAACGCTGAACAGGATGACCTTTGGGCAGCACTGACCGAGCAAGCTCATGCCGACGGCAACCTTGACCAGAGCTTGACAGTGAAGGAAGTGATGGACACCTGGACAGTACAAACTGGATATCCGCTAGTCACCGTTGTAAGGGACTATGAAAAGGGAACCGCAAAACTCACTCAGGTCAGTTATGATACATAGACACTATTACTTTTGAATGAATATTGTCACATTCATAGTAATAGATGAGAAATATTTCCAAAAATTTGTACTTCTTATCCTAAATCTCATTACCCTTTAGGCTTGGCTTACATAAAGTTTTGTTCATATAATCATTACTTATTAATAAGGACCAATGTGATAAATACAAACTGCTTTCAAGATTGTTTATTTCAAAATTCTAAATATCATTCATAATTAGCAATATTTAATTTCTTGGTTAATCCTTAAAAATACTAATGAGCATTAGTGGCACATTATTTTTTTTGGAGAGTGTATTGCTTTATTTGTATTCCAAAGCATAAGTAATAAAATTAGTTCACACAGTAAAAAATAAAATAAAAAAATTGAAATTCAAAATTTGAAAAAAATTGTTTTTCTTTATCAGCATCATGCTTGCTGTTCATTAACTTATGGTGCTCCAGCTATAAATACAAACATAATAATTTAATTAAGTATATATATATACTTTTTTTTTTATTTAGTTCAAAGTAGTTTTTTAATTTAGTTTAATTAGTTCATTAGCGTACTATGATAAACAATGATTAAAATTAAAATAGAGTTAATTTTTTCATTATATAGACACAAATTTGGATTGAAAATGAGCCAATAAAAAAAAAAATCAACATTCATTAAAAAGTTATTCACTTCCTTTGTTATCAGTAAAAGTTACTTGAAAATTCCTACTCTGAATTCTTAATAATATGATGAAAACTATTGAAAAAAAAAGATAATTATTTTTAAAAATTTTCTCGATCGCAATACTTACTCTTACTATGTATGTCATATATACGTAAGTGAAAGTAAAAAATAATGAATAATTCATAGGTAAATGGGTAAAAACATCGAATAAAATTTTAAAAGAGGTTAAATTTTGGTGAAAAATTAGAAAACAGGCATAATAATAGTTACTTATTTAAATATGAATTTTTAAATTTTCATACAAACGCCCAAAAAAAATTTCACTTTCTAGTAAAAGATTATCGGTTTGATCAATATGTGACTTTAATATTTTATTGTTAGATAATATATTAGATAATAGAATAGTTTCATAATAGGGGCAAAGAAATTGTCTGGAACAACAGTAAGCTAAATAGTGCATTGGACTGCACCCTTTAACAGAGAGTGAGATGTATACAACCACTTAAACTTTAATCAGCTATCTTATTCTATGTTTAGTTTCAGATAACATCTTTATATTTTTCCCCATGTCTAACAATCCTATCGCAGACAACTAAGACTTCTTGCAGTTTTTTTTAATATTACTTCTCAAATGTGACAAATATGTTCTATCGTCCTATAAAGGGTTGACATTTAATTGAACAAAATCTAGAGAAGGAATATTCATTGACATAATTATCTCTTATAACTTATATTTTATTTAATATGTTATTACAGAAAAGATATTTGCAAGTGAAACCAGAAGGTGCCGTCAACGACACCTGTTGGTGGATACCAATCACCTACACCACTCAGGATAAGCCCGACTTCAAGGACACTTTACCCAAGTTGTGGATGAACTGTGCCAACAGAGACACTGTTGAGCTGACCAAGTTGGACCCAAGCTCCTGGTTGTTGCTCAACATTGATGTTGGAGGTAAAAAATGATTATATTAGAATTATACTGCAAATACCCTACTGAAACTTAATTGTAAATTATTAGTTTTGGCAGGAATAGGTGAATAGCCTTCCGCTTTTAAATCAGGGCATCAGGTTATCTACACTCGTGAATTATTAAAACTAAAGCCCTTCACAGGATATAGATTTTTTTGAGGGTGTTTAACTGTGATTGGGAATTCGGGAATCTAATACCTTTTGTGACACTGAGTGAGAAGAAACAATAAGAATACATATATGAAATGTGGGACTTAGTAAACACTTTGAATGAATTGACTCACCTGGTTTATTCTTCAATTGTGAGGCCTATAGGACAACTAAATAAAAGGACTATTCACTCCTGTCTAAGAAAACAATTTATTTTAACAACTATAATAAATTAATATATTAAAGTCTTATAACTGTAGGCTTGATATTCTTAGTCTTCAATGTAGTAAGCCTCTCTTCCCAGATGACGTCTTCTTGTGTTGGTGCCCAGGCCTAAAGTGCCCCTTTTCTACCTGTCGTCTTCCTCCAGCTGCTGCTACCTGGTCAGACCTTTTTCCTTCTTCATCGATTGTTTATCGATATGAGACTTTTCAAAGAACAATTTGTCCACTGCACAATTAAGTACAATTCACAGTGCAACCTCACATTCCTATATATTATATATTCCTTCTCATTCCCTCACCCAATGTCGTCAATAGGAGTAAATACAGGGGGATGTCTACTACAATACTGTTAGGTTATTTGAGTACAATGAAAATAACTTTATCTCTAAAAAGTTTTTCAAGTCATTTTAAGTAAAGTAAAGTCAGTCTATTCAAACTTCAATGTCTGAATCACGTTATTTATAAAAGGAAAATAGAATAATATTTATTTCAAATATCACGACTGCTTGTGCAAAACATTTTATGTAAAAATTGACTTTTTTTAAGAACAAAAACCGATTAATTATTTTTGATTTAGTAGTGTAATTTCATATTTTATTTTCCTCTACTATTTACTTAGCAGACTACTTGAATGAAAACGTGCTTATTAAACTTTTTAAAAAATTATAAAAAGTAAAATATATATATACAAGCAACAACACATATACACATTATGTTTTTATACATCCATTCTAGCAATTTTCTTTTTCACTGTCTCATTTGTTTAGATAGAGTTTTCAAAAAACAAACATTAATACATCAAAAATCCAACAAAGAAGAAATTTAAATTCAATAATAATAATAATAATAATAATCATCAAATACAATATAACAATAAAACAAACTTTACAATAAATAAACACGATATTTTATCAATAGTTTGCTATCTGACTAATTGAGATCTTTGCAATGTGGCCTGCTATACATATTTGCTTAAGGCTTTCCAGTTAGAACCCTTTAAGAAACCAAATAATTCTTCTGGAGAACAGGTCCACTGCCCAAAACATTTCTCTCTTATCTCACTGAACATGTGGCAAGTCCCCAAAAAGTGAATGATATCCTCTTTTTCTTGAGAGTTACATACCGGACAGCAATCGTCTCCCACCATCCATGGTTTTACGCTTAAATCGAGCAATTCTGTCCTACATTGAAAAATTGACCCTATAGTCACAATATTAAAACTATCATCAAGATAGGGAGTAACAGTACCCACTGAACATAGTCCTGCGTAAACAGAAAAACTTGAATGAAGACATTTTTGAAGGTTATTTTGTTTTTCTAAATCCTCTACTCTACGTCTAACAAAAGTCAATTTTCCGTGCAGATCAGCAATATTTGTAGTATCAAGATTAATTTTTAGCAGACTACTTATAGCAGTTGTAGACTACAAAATGTCACCTTCAGGACAAAGAGAATAAACATGTAAAATTGTTACATACAACCTCTTTTACACTAATAGTAGTGATATGTGGACATGTTCTGTGTACCATTGCTTTCAGGCCAATTAAAGATGTTCTATTCAAGTATCATATAACAACTGGTTTATTAGAAGCAGTGTTGCCACTCATCAGTGGCAAATCCTTTTTAATAGATGGCTTTTATTTATTCTTTTATGTGACACTGATTGAGGGAATGAGAAGGAATGTAGGGTTGCAGTATGAATTGGACTCAATTGTACATTGGACAAGTGGTTGAGTGAAAAGTACCAAATGAATAAACAATTGATGAAAAAGGTACAGCAGAGCAAAGAAAGGAAGCAAAGCCTGGAAAAGTGTTCGGCAGTTGGCAGCAGTTGGACAGAGGCATTGGAAGAACAAAGGAAGGACACAGACTTCACTTGAGGTGAGGACATGAAGAAGAAAGTACGTGACAGCCGGAGAGATTAAGAAGATCAAGACTTTAATAGATTCATTTACTACAGTTGTTGAAATAAATTATTTTGTTATATAGGAGGAGATATTCCTTTCATTTCATTGTCCTATATGCTTCACAATTGAAGAACAATAAACCGGATGAATCAATTCATTCAAATTGTATTTACTCAGTCCCACATTTCATATATATGTTCTTATTATTTCTTTAGTGTCACAAAAGCATTAGGTTCCTGAATCCCCCAAAACAGTAAACACCCTCAAAAAAGTCTGTCCAGTACAGTGGTTTTGTTTTAAAACTTAAAATTTACGAGTGTAAATAACCAAGATCGCGACAAAACGGAAGGTTATTTACACCTTGTATCTCAGACCTCATACAACCACATACATTTTTATGTTGAAATATATTACAAATTATAAGAAAGAGGTCATAAGCAATAAAATTAGGAAGATTTTTTTCCTTGATTTGATCCATAACTTATTAATAATATTTGATTTTTTTAACAGGACTTTACAGAGTGCATTATGATGAACAGAATTGGAAACTTATCAGCGATACGCTTAATTCAGACAAGTATACTGATATATCTACAACTAACAGAGCTGATCTCCTGATGACCATTATGGACTTGGCGTGGACTGGTGACATTGCCTATGAACAAGCACTCTCTCTTGTCAGTTACTTGGCTAGGGAAAAGGATTGGTTGCCATGGAAGATAGGACTCAACAAGCTGGGCGCTCTAAATAAAATACTTAGTCGCACTCCAAGTTATTCATACTTTAAGGTATTTACAATTTATGAAATTCAATAATTATCCAATTATTGATATTGATAAACCAATGGTATTTATTTATTTTTCACGAATACTTACATTTTTTATGGCAATATTTCGATAAAAACAATCTTAATTTAAACACAATATTAGTCTTAACTGAAATATTTGTTAAATTTACTATGTGTCTATAAAATAAACCTTTTATAGAAAAGGTAAACTAACTACCTATGCGAAATGGTGTTTAAATTATTCTTGAAGTCCTATTAAATGTGATTACTTGAACAATAATACTTTTAGAGATCATTTTTTGAATATTTTTTTTCATAAGACATGGTAATATTTTACCAATTTGGGGCGGGCTTCAGCCCGAAAGTATATATAATTATATGTGTATGTTAATATGAATTGTTGAAAGATGGAAGGTTTGTGTAAATTGTATGGACTCCTTAAAACACAGTTTGAATATCACTGTTGTAATGTATTTTATATTAGTAGATAATAATTACTGATCATGATTAAAATATTTATAAAATTTTAGGATTTTATGACGAAATTGATTACACCAATCTATCAGGAATATAACAAGCTGGCCATAATTCCAGAACAGCATGATAAGATGAAACTTCACATCTCAATATCAAAATGGGCAGTCGATTTAGAAATAGGAGACTCATTGAAACAGATCCAGGAGCTGTTTGTGAAATGGATGGAAACAGAAGATCCTGACAAAAATAACCCGTAATACACATTTTCCATTTATTACAATATGTTTTTTTTTATGTCATTACACCTCATTTTAATCTCTAATCTTACGTCTCATAATTGAAGTGTAGAAATACAAAGTGTCCAAGTACATTATGTAAAATTAAAATAACATTTTAGTTTATTTTCAGATTACAGATCAATTGTACAATGATCTAGATACTATTATAAAAGTGTTTTTAGAGTAGAATAGAAACATAATAAACTTTATTCAGGAACAAGGTACCTTGAGAATAATAATTATGAACAAAAACCATATCTGGTCAAAAACTACAATAATAAAAATTAAAGAATATGAACATCTTCAGTAAAAATATAAAAGCAACAAAAAGTAAAATTTATTTTATGAATGTGCAGTGTTATTTTGGGATGTGAGAAGGAATTGGTAGATATGATATTTGAATGAGGACAAGGAAGAGGTATGGCAGATATCAGTTGGCAAATAATCCCAGAAGGGTGTGGATTGGGAAATAAAGGAATGTTCAAATGTCTTAGTTCTATGGGAAGAGGAATAAAGGTCAGAAACACAGGATCTTGTTTTCTGAGAGTGAACTGCATGTTTGAGCTGTAGGAGACTGTAGATGTAGGAACTGTGTTGATCGTTTGGAACAGGTAAGATCCAAGGAAATATTGTCGGCAAAAAGAAGGGAAGAGCCAATTTAACTCATCATAAAGGTGGGACACATGAGACTACCTCAAAGTACTTAATAAGTTCATAAGTTACTTCAATCTGTCTTTGAGTACCATCAGGATGCCTCCGCACACCACAGAGCCATAATCAAAGTGGAGGAAAATAAGAGAGGATTCAAGGAGTTTGCAGATAGGTTGTGGGAGTAGGTGATGAGAGCAGTGAAATAACTTAAGGGTACCTATTGACTTTCGGGAGGAGATGAGGATGATATGGAGTTTCCAGGAGAGGTTTTCATCAACGGTGATTCCTAGGTTTTTAAAGGAGGAGCTGAATGTGATGGGATGACTAGAAGAGGAAGGAAGGAGTCGGATTTAAGAAGAAAATTGGAACTTATAACAATGGCCTGAGTTTTCATTGCGTTTAGCATTAAATTATTCCCAGGAACTAATCCTATCTAGGTCTGCCTGAATATTGGCTAACATAACTAATAGCTGAGAAGGGTGAAAGAATCGATAGATTTTGGAGTCATCAGCATAAAAATGGTGTGAACATTGGTAGATGGATAGGCCTATTGAGCTTTAGAGTGCCACTAAACCATCAAATTCCTCCCATATCCTTACAATTCAAATTCCTTCATAAATGTCTCAATGTTCCTCATGTTTCCAATTTGGCCCATTCCGGCTACCTATCCTTCCATAATAAACTTCATAACCATCTGAACCCTCTCGTTCCTAACCTTGCTTCTTCTTCAATTCCTGATAACCCTCCGAGGCATCTGAAAAGAAGAGGGTTATGATCCCTTATTGTAGATATATCTTAAGAGTGATACCTGTGGGTTGTTTCTATACAATTATTTTCATATCATCATACTCATTTGTTCACATTTACTATATATATTTTTATTTTAATACACTTGTAAATATCCTGATTAAAAAACATAAAAATAAACTGAAAATTTTTGGTTTGATTAGATTCTTGCATTTCAATGCTGCAGTTTTTAAGTGTATATAAACTTGTTGGAACTATCGATATAATCATTTCTCATCATTTTTTTATTTTAGAATTCCAAAAGATCTGAGGACTAATGTGTACTGCAATTCAGTCTGGTATGGTGGTCCACACATTTGGGACTTCTTATTTAAGCGTTACCAGAATTCAAACGTAGGAACAGAAAAGAGTACTATAATGTATGCTCTAGCATGCAGCAGAGATATCTGGATTTTAAATAGGTATTTATAAAAATATATAGATATTTTGTTTGTTTATATGTGTTAGTGAAGATAAATAATTAATTATGTGAAAAAATGAATACTTTTTTTATCAATATTATTCTTAATAATAGTTATCATAAGAAGTTTTAAAATTACCAATAAATATAAACTAAATTGTTACTTGCTGTTAAGAGTCTTGTTTCAATTTTGGTTAGGTATTTGGAATGGTCAATAGATGAAGATTCTGATGTGAGAAAGCAAGATAGTGCTTCTGTATTTTCATCCATTGCCAGGCACAGTATTGGCTACTACGTTGCCTGTGACTTCCTGCAGAGGAGGATAAAAGATATATACCTTTAGTAAGTATTTTAATAATTATCTAGATACAATTTTCATCAACTACATATTTTATATAACTAAAGATATATAAAAATATTCTTGGTTAAACTATTGAATACTAAACTTAAACTATAAATCTTTTTCTCCTTTGTATACCTTATACTATTCATAGTATTGAGCAGTCTAAATCTAATGCTAATCTAAAGCCTTTCAGTCCCTACTAAGTTGATAACAACTGTTCTTGCACTCAGTATTGCAAATTGTCTGAACAAAGAAATATGAGGGAATGCTGGATTGGATGACCTGGAAGAGGAATGATGCCAGGAAATACTTAAAATGGTAGAAATGGTGGATAAAACCACCTCAACTCTTCATGAGAATAGGAGACAGATAAGTCCCTTGAGACCCTAAACATGAATTGTTCAAAGCAATTTATCAAACATTTTAGCTTCGTCTCGAGATCCTCAGAGAGATTTTCTTATGCCATACAGCTATATTCAAAGTGAGGAAATACTAAGGGAATGACAAGGAGCCTACGGTTTTGAAATGGAAATAGGTGACAGAAGTAATTTAAATGTTCTAAGATGGAAAAGCTATGGTGGGAGATATTGGATACATGTTTTTTTCCAGGATTTTTTTTATAAAAGGTTATTTAAAGGTTTTTGATGGTGGGATCAAGGAATCATGGTGGGATATGTGTATGGAATTGTCATGTAGGAACAAGGTTGAAATATTGGGTGATTGAAGACAAGGCGAGGTGGCCAAACGGACTAACGCATGTGCACAGCACCACCGTTGCCCGGCAACCTGATATATAAGACAAATTTATAAAAAATAGTTCACATCCCGGTGCAGGGGGAGTCTTCTAAATCCCCAACCACACCCCCCCCCCCCACCGCCCGGGTAAACCCTGTATAGCCTTAAAGGGAGGAAGGGGAGAACATAAAAAAAAAAGGTGATTGGAGCCAATTAGAAGTGTCTTCTTCTTCTCTGTATTCAACTTCAACTTGTCCAGTCACTTCCAGTTACTTCTGTCCAGTCACAGATTCTATTTAACTCTTCTTTGAAGTTGTTGTTTTTTTTTTTGGCAGGTAATAGATCAGATGGCGGAAAGGATAGGTGTATTTGGAAATCATCTGCATAGATATGATATTGGGAGTGATGGATCAGAAGGGAAAGACCATTAATATAAATAATAAAAAGAGTAGGGGGATAGAGAGGAAACCTGAGGGACACCCCAAGAGAGGGGGAAGTGTAGCAGATGGAAATTGGCCTGTTACAACTACATACTGGGACCGAACTGAGAGGATATACTAGCATAGTTTCTACTAATTTTACTAAAAAATATTTTTTTATAACATTCTTATTCAGAAAAAAAGCTAAACTATGAAATCTATAGTACAACTGGCAATTCATTCTTAGCATCCCTCATTTTATTCTTATTTACTAACATAATATAATATTTTTTATTGTTAATCAATCAAGTACATTTTTTATAGGCTTAAAATTAATTATTGCTTTATATTTCAGTCACTCAAGTAAAGGCCACCGCCTCGGCTCTTATATAGAAACTTGTGCCGATAGTATCATTTATGAAGATGAATTGAAGAAGGTAATGTTGGAAGCTAATTATAAATTTTATATTTATTAGTATTATTATTAGCCCCAATACTAGGCTTTATTTTAATGACTCTTACACAGTGATAATTTCTGTCATGATAGTACCAAGAAAATGAGACAGTGGCATTGCCCTTGTCGACATGCTGACAGTAAACATTGAGTAATTTTTTTTTAACCATTAAAAAATAAATATAATTTATTCTCTAGGTAAAGATTAATACATATTTCGGCACTAAAATAGTGAGATTATTTTTTCAGTTGTTGGCAACTGTAATTAAACAAACATAAATTCTTTGTAAAATCGGCTCTACATTATAGCATATTGAAGAAATAAACAATGAAGATCAAAAAAAAAATGGTAGTGTCAAGAAAATGAGACAGTGGCATTGCCTTTGTCGATACACTGACAGTATACACTGAGTAATTTTTTTTTTTAAACCATTACAAAATAAATATAATAAATTTTCTAGTTAAAGATCAATACATATTTCAGCACTAAAATAGTGGAATTATTGTTTTATTTGTCAGCAACTGTAATTAAACTAACATAAATGCTTTGTGAAATAAACAATGAAGATAATAAATATTTAGCTAGATAAAAGTAGTAAAGGCTTGCTGCTAAAGCATTGTCTAATTGGTGACAATTTTTGCCTTTGTTATGACTGTGACTGTGAAAAGCAAATCGAAGATTACACCACTGCCCTTATGATAACTAAATTGGCAAAACATTGGCAGGTTTTTTATTCCTTGCCTTCATTTTGGAGACATAAGGCTGTGGGTTTGAATTTTTCCAATTATAACTTAACGTTGAATTTCTGTCTCTTGGTGAGTTTTTTATTGATTTGTATTATTTAAAAATAATTGTAACACTAATATATGAGAACAATATTTTTGTTCAATATATAATACCGCATGATCACTATTACAATTGATTAGATTAGAAATGTTGTGTTCGTTGTGTTAGAAATGTTCACTGGTACTAGTAGTCATATACTTGTAGTAGTCAGAATGACAACAACTGTGACCTCTGCAACAAGTATTGTTAGCTATAAAGCAAATTTTGATAGTGCGGCGGTATTACGAAGACAGCAAATGTCATTCTGTTGTTTGATTTACACGATGAACTATTACTGCTTTGGCATAACTGTCATCACGGAAACAAGGCTATCTATATAAATAAAATAAAGATTTTGTCTGTACATTGAATAGAATCAACCCGTTTTATGATATCTTTCCATTTCATACATATCAGACCCCAAACCCACTTTTAAAAAAATTTTTGTCTGTCTGTATGTCCGCATTGCAACGAAATTTTGTCAGGGGTAAGTTCAGCAATGGCTAATTGTAGACTTTAGAAATTTTAACATTATATTAAGGTTTGCTTGACTTAAAACATAGGCTTTAAATGAAAACAAAATATTGAGTATAACCAAAGTTATGAATCCTTGAGTAATTTGACTATAGATCTCGGTTAATGTTGATAATAAAAGTTAATAATAAACATATGCTTATAGGTTAAAGAATATCTATATAAATAAAATAAAGATTTCGTCTGTACATTGAATAGAATCAACCCGTTTCATGATATCTTTTCATATTATTCATTACAGACACCAAATCCACATTAAAAAAAAATGTTCGTCTGTCTGGGTGTCTGCATTGTCCAACGAAATTTGGTCAGCGTTAAGCTCGGCAATGGTTAATGGTAGACTTTTGAAATTTTTACATTACATTTAGGTTTGCTTGATTTAAAATATAAGCTTTAAATGAAAACAAAATATTGAGTAGAACCAAAGTTATGAATTCTTGAGTAATTTGTTTAGAGATCACGCCACAATATTCAGATCAAGTTCTAATTTTACAAGGATGTAGGTGATTCAATATTCCATGTTATTTTGGTTATTTTGCCAGCGATAAACTCAGAAGAGTTCAAAGAAGTGGAGAGACTAAGACTCTTTTTGATTAATTAATCAACTCCACAATCTCCTCGCTTCATTATAAATGAAAATTAAACACAACAAATTTTAATGTGGTCGGTTTAGTTGTGCGGTACCTAAAAAAATAGCCGAATAACAAAGTTTTTCTTATGACTATGGTGAAACCTTGACTTCCATAAGCCCCACCATAAAAAATTTCAAAACAACCCCCCTCTTCCCTCCCTATCCAATTTTATGAAATTGAATTTGGACTCTCCTCTCCCCACAATACAAAATCCATATCAAAAAAAGATTCTCAAATTTTAACTATACACCCGTCAACGAGGGGTATATCTGCTTGTATTTAATATATGTTAAATGATATTGCTTAAATGTTTTTAATTATTACTTATATGTTTTATTTATTTTTTAATCAGTGGAAGGATTTCATTGCTGCAAACAAAGAGTACCTGAAGGAAGCTCAACTTGCTACAAACCAAAGCATTGAAGCAGCCCTCGCCAATACCAAATGGTACGCCAACCACTACAAGACCATCACCAAGCTCATGAAGTCCTGACAACTTAAAGTGAGCTGCGGACAAAGGCTACCCAAAAGTGGGTCATACCAACTCGTCAATGAACCCGTGGTCGTTGCTGTTATTGGGACTTGCTTTTTTATTTATAATAACTAAAACTTTTATTCATTAAACAAATACAATTAAAAATTAGCTAATATTTATTAATAGATATGTTTTATAGTATAATTTTGCCATTGTTGTTCAGAAAACTAATTCATGAAAAAAGAAGAGAAAAGAAATGTGATGTACAAATTCTTTAAAAATATCATCAAGTATTTTCCTAGTTTTGTAATCATAATTTATATACATATATATGTAATATATAATCCTCTAAGTACAAATAAGATTCATTAAGGTATAAAATGAAATATGTATGAACATAACATGAGCCTAGCTCCCTCAACAATCAATATGCATTTAATTAAATTTATGAATTTGTAAAGATATCCGACAACTTGTTCTGTAAAAATAAATTTGGTATGTTTTAAACTATTTATTTCTAATATTATATTACCAGCTCATTTTCCATAATTATATTCCTTCCACTATATTTTTCTGCTAAAAATTCTTCCAACTACTAAGCTTTACTTTTTAAATGAAAATCCACTTTATTTAAATTTATTTATAAATTTATATAAAGTTTGCACCAAATAACTTTTATCAAGTAGGTTACTATAGCTTCCTTACCAATTGAAACATAAGAAAAAAATTCAAATAAAAAATTTGTAAGAAAAACTCATTCTGAGATCTGTTGTTTACTGCAGTGGTATTAGTTTACAAGTCAGTGGCAAAGAAAAAAAAAAACCATAAAATCTTGACGCCTTCACGTATGTACCTAACAGGATCCCATAATTTAAGGCCCAAGGAAATTATAAATTTAATTCAGAAGTTATAAATTAATTCTGTTTATTTTTAAGAGTAAAATAATATTACATTATGTATGAAAATCAAATTAACTATTATTCATGGACATTTCACAAATAATGAATCAACCTACTTTTTTAAATATATATATAATGATTTATTAAAACAAATATATAAATTTGGTAGACTTAAAATTTGGCATCTGCAAAATATTTTTTTCAATTAAGGTAATTAACGTCAGTTTGAAAAGTCTTAGTCACCATCTTAAAAGTCATCGGGGTGGGATGCACAGGTTTGTGATGTAATTAAGTTTTTGGACTAATGAATTATGAATGAAGGTCGTAAGTCAACCTCTGGTGGAAGTTTTTATGGTAATCTGTTGCGGTATCTGATATTATTTAGATATCAAAGTCCTTACCTAGCAAGGTATAACAATAATGTAAAGATAAAGTTTCTTAAAGTTATAAAAGGAGTCATATGTGAAATTTCTTTTACATTAATTTTCAAATCATAAGAACCTAAAAATATATATAATTTTATTTTAGCTATTACAAATATTGGAGATTGGAATAGTTATATAAGTAAGGCACTGTGTTCCAATGCTTAAGGTCCCAGATTCGAGTCCGGCCGTAGCAGGTAATTTTTTATTCTATTCAGCGGTGGATTGACCCAGGAATCAGGAGGCCTTCTGGGGCACATCCAGCCTCTACAAAATTGGTACTCTTAATCAAATAATTAATTATTATAAATTATTGACCTTTTAGTGACAAGGGGCAGGAAAGGTGGAGTGGCCTAGAGGACGGTACTATGTGATACTTATTAGTGCCCCAATAATTGAATACTTGAATTGAATTGAATACCAGCCAAAGAAAAATTACCTTCTCCCTCATAGAAAGACCACGAGATAATTTGAGAGTATAATTGATCACTGAGAAACCCTGTTGTTTAACAAGAAAGAGCCCAATACGTTCTTAACTCATATATGAGTCCACCATTACTAGAGCAGAGTCGTGTCTTGACTCATTTATGAGTCAACAGTCAATTGGGTTCAGTTCCCTCTCGACTCATATATGATTCCACTGTCATTAAGGGTTAAGGTGGAAAACCTGGTGGTTGAGTGTGACCTCAGTCTAATCACCTCTCAAGCCAACCGTAGGCCTTGAAATAGTACTTTCTTACACATTACTAAACCCTGGACCCAAATGGGTTGTAGTGGCAGAGGTTTTTTTATTTATTTTTATTACAAATATTAATTCAAAACGTTTATTAAAAAATAAATAAATAAAAATCTTTACAATATATGTTTATATTTTTGCATTTTTAAGAGAAAATAATGAATGGATTTTGACAAAATTGATATGGGGCCTACCTATCTAGCAAAATCAGATTAACTGTTGTAGAAGTCTTTAGTGGATTTGAGAGGGGAGGGGAGATTTTGATGTGAAGAATTTGAAAACTTAGTATATAATTTTTAAAAAAATAATAAATACAAAAAATAATTGTTTTTTAATTTAATAAATTAAAAAAAAAATTTCAATGAAGTACACTATTCTTATTTCAGTTCATGTATCTAAATAAACATAATTCTTTAAAATATTTGTTCATACTTTAAATGGATATCAAAATATTTAGAATCTTAGAGGATGATAATAATGAAAAATAAATATATGAAAAATCATTATTTCATAGAAAACAATCAATTTAGTAATAAAAAAGTTCAGTGTATCATATTCATATGAATCATATTTTCTAAATAAAAGGATTAATCATAAATACGCGTAATCTATGTTTGAATAAGGTGATAAGATAACACTACACCTAGTCCACACCTATACAGCACGGATTGTTGAAAGTGATAACTTCCAAAATTGTGTCGCAATGTTTTCCAAAAGAAATCTTTGCATATTTGTGTTAAGTTTGGGTATGAATATTTAAATAAGTTTATTGATTTACATATTACAATAGAATTTATTTAATATTTCTTATTGCACTAGTGTTATTCCAATCGCTAATTTCCGAGGTTGATGCCAGAAGAAAAGTACTCGAAGGAAGGAATGTTTTGTTGCGAGAAAATTACAGTAAGTAAATCATTAATAACATTTTAATATGTACGCATAAGAACAGATCTTAGCTTCTTAATATGAATAAAAAATTATTGTAAGGAGAATTTGTTTGAATACAATATTTCATTGGAACTTTTTCACAGTATATTAATGGTTTAAAGATCACTTCATATACTCAACATTCTACATACTTAGGAAAAATGTGAATATTAGTTTTATTGGCCACATATTTTAGTTTTCTATTTTTTTTTTTTTTTTCCAAACTAGAACTCTCTATCTGCATTTTCGCTTATGAAAATATTTTAACAATACACAACCAGGTTGGGAATATATAGTATTGAACATAAACAATTAAAAAATTAAAAAGTTTGTAACTCAGAAAGCTGGTTCAAATAATAATAAAGAATTTAGTTTTGAAAGGAACAATGACAAACCAACAATATATTATTATAAACATGTAAATTATAAAAAATTTAAAGTTTTAAATATTTATTTTATTCAAAATTTTACAGAAGATATGATTTTACTAACTTTAATAATGTGCTGCAAATTATTTATATTTAAATTTTAAAAAAATATGACTATACATTATAATAAAAACAGTCAAATTAAATTAAATAGGATTGATGATTCCTAATTTACAAAAATTATAAGAACTATTATACTGTTATTTTGTATTGATATAATTAGAACAAAAAAAATCTTACTATTAACTGGAGGCAGGTCTAAAATATTTATATTTGTAAACAAAAATAAAATAAAATAATGACTGTAACTGTGTATTTTTTTTTTTTTAAGGTAAAATTAAGAGAGAAAAATAATGCAGCATATATATTGTCGGTTGATGTTTATCTCAAAATGTCATTAACTCGATTTTTGATGGAGTTGAACTTTTTAGCAAGTTCTTATGAATTTTAACCTTATGTATCCATAAAAAAAAAAAAAAAAAAAAAAAAAAAAAGAAATTTCATCAAAGTAACACAAACTCTTGCACTTATCAAATACAGTAACACAAAGTGCACAATGTTCTGATTTCACAATGGAAAGAATTGTCAAAGTTCTTAAGTGATGTGAGGTTATGAAATAATACTATGACTCTTAGCAGTAAACCTGCAATACATTCTGCAAAAACCTGAGTTCAAATCCAAATAAAATATATTTTTCATTGAATTTTCCTAGTTAATTAAGAACATACAGAACTGATTCGGTGCAACATATTTTTCATATCTTTCCGGAGATGTACAGAGTAAGATTCTGATAATCAAAACAGTAAATGAACTTGTACATTATTTATTTTAAATTAACCAGAACTTGTCAGTTATTCTTGTTTTTTATTTTGATGTGATAATATCATAATTCATTGATAGTGAATTTCTGAATCAGAGCCTCATGAATCAAATCATAGACTATCATGACAATGCTAAATCCAACGAATCTATGAGAACTTTGAATTTTGATATCACTTTAATTTTAGAAAAATATTTTTAATTGTCTTTATTATGACAAGGATAAAAATCTGGTGCGCGCATCATAAGACTTTCACTTACCACCTTCTTCTTAGCAGAAATAAATATTTACAGATAAAGGGGAAGTGAAATTTAAAATCATTTATAATTTACTATATTGCTATCTAATAAAATTATCTAAAATATAGCGTCTACGCTAATATTTATTTACATTTCATTGTGGGTATTTTTATTTGTATAACTACCCTTATATAGACAAATTTAAATTTTTTTATCGCTGTATTCAAAACAATTAAATATTACATAATACCAACGATAGCATTTATGAAAACCGCATATGTATATGTACATAATATTGTCGGAGTCCGTGTTATATTAAGCTCATTTTATGTATGTACTCTTTCGGTCAAGCTCAGTTGAGCTCAGATAAGCTTCTTTTCCTTTGGTTTTTCCATTACAACTATTATCCGTTAAGATCTCTTATATCCCCTTTAGTTAATTATCCAATTCTTTCATATTTTATACTTAACTATTTTTTGTATCAAAGATTAATTTAAAACGGTTAATTATTTCAAATAAAAAAACTTAAAGGTACTTTAGAGAAAGCTAATATTGAAAATTAGTCATTTAAGCCCTGTTAGAGAACATCAATGAGAATAAAACATACATTATATTAAAAACTGCTTAATAATACACTGATATACTGAGTTTAATCAAAATCGTTAGAGCGGTTTTTAAGAAAATCGTCAAAATGTGTTAAATCGATTATATATAGTACCACTTCCAGTTTGCCGATTTTGATGAAAATGTTGCTGTAACATTCCATGATTATAAAAACCTCAAATACGCAACTGCTTTTCGTTTTTCAGCTGTTCACATACACACACACACACACACACACACACACATTTTGCGGGACTTGGTTATTTGAACTCAGGGGACCTCAAAACGTGTATTTCCATTGAAAACTCAGATTCAAACATTTTCATGATCGCAATACTTACTCTTACTATATATTACATATATAGGTACGTGAAAAATTGAACTTATAATGTAGAAATTTCTTTTCAAGTAATCTGTCTGTTTGATACACAGAGAT